TGGCCAGATAGGTTAATACAAATTCATGCAGCTCATTGGAGCTGGCCCTGTGTAAGGAAAATTACGATAGAACTCAAATCAGGAAAACTGGCTGAGTGCAATTTTAAATATATTATTTGGTACTGCTCAATATTTGTTTTTCTGTAAAATGTCTTAGTCATAATAAGTCTACTCGTTAAGCTGAAAATGTCTTATAATCACAAAAAGTTCCCATCTCAGGATATATTGATTTATGGGGCAATAAATGAGTGTAGTCATTGTTAGAATACTGCATCAATATTGAGATTGTTATGCAATTATAAAATCAGTGAGGAATTTTATATTATTCAAAAGAGACTTACATTTTTAGCTCGTATAATTCATCAGCTACTGTATTTTGTCATGCTAGTATTTAAATTCGTATTAACGGACTCCATTATGATCCACTTGCATTATATGTGCGCTTTGCACATGTAAAACATTTATTTTTATTTTACTAGGTAAGGCTCACTGAACTATATAGCTCTTTTTTAGAAGCGACCTGGTCAAAAATAACAGCTCATCGAAGTGGCTTATCATGTGAAAATGTATAGTAGCCACATACTTTAAATGCATGTTTCTAAATGTGGAGGGAAAAACACGACCACAGTAAGAACTCCAAGTATACAGGCGTCAGGGTTGGGATCAAACCGACAGCCTCCTGTATTCCAGGAGAGCGAGTTAACATCTCACCACTATGTGTACATTTAAACTGGCATTATATTTTGAGTTTACAGGGTTGCTGTGTTGCCACGAAAGAGACCACGATCTGCTTCGTAAAATAATACTCTGCATTTAATTTCCAGCTAGGGCATCCACATACGGTGTTTGCACAAGCCATAGAGGCCACATCACCATGCTCATTGGGTTACGCCTGTAACGTGAACTTAAGCTTTCAGAGCCGCAATAGCCGTTTGTCATGGAAGAATTTAAAATCACCTGGGACGTGGCAGACTCGGTGAAGCATTTGTAGGACTGGTGGGCACAGTTAGAGCAGACCAGAACCACGTACTTTTTGAAAATTACAAACCGTGCAGTATTTGCAAAGCCACATGCTTATTCTTGGAAGAGGGGGGCGTGTATTAGAAAACATTTGCAATTGTTAGGGAAGTGAGTCAAGTCAAGTTCCTCGTTTGTACGTTTTGCGGCGTGATCAGGAGGAAGGGAGGATAACGGTCGGTTGCTGCCACACCCAGTCTTTCCCAACCAACATTTGTAACCACTTCTCGTTTCAATTTTGAACATTTTTCAATTTAACAATTTTGTGGACTCTTGTTTTTTAAATCAATGTTCATGCACTCATTTTACTTTCGATTCTTTCATATGAGCGGATTCATTTTCTTGGCATGAGTAGGTTACGGGTTTGAATCTTGGCACATGGTGCTGGCTAAATGAACTGAGTGAACTGCATGCTTGCTGAATGAATGATCACCAGATGGTGATAGCTCCTTGTATGGGCTGTTCCACTATTTGTGCGTACATTTTAGACATTTTAAAGATGTGGGTAATCCTGGGTATAATCATGAAGGGGCTTTTTACTTCAGTGTAGTATATCAACCAATTACCCCTGCAAGTCAAATTTAAATAGTATGTCCACTGTTTTTGGTAAGCGAGAAATGTCTACACAATACAAAGGTGTCAGAACAGAAGTTTTCATCTATGCTGCGATGGTGATGATGAATATATGTGTATCTGTCAAATTATTGTCTTCCATAAATAATCCATATTCTCTAAACGAGATAATTACCTTCAAAACGATGCCCCACACATATGATGAGGCGAACATCAATTGTTTGTTACTATTCGGCTGCCCAATTGTTGGAACTGCCCACATATAAGCACACAAAATGGTCGCTCAAATTTGGAATCAAGTAAACCATTAACTGTTTTAATTCTTTCGTTTGTTGAGGCAGTGGTGCACAAGCATGAATAAAAAAAACTCACCATGTTTGTCATTAACACTGCCTTATAACAGAAAAAAATATTTTTGAATATTGTAATACTACCATGATTAAAAGCCAATCACCAGATAACTATAAATATGTAATTTTCTTTTATAAGGTAGTATTAATGGTGAAGGTGAAGATTTATTTTTTATTTTTGTGGATATTAAATAATGGTGGCTTGTGTCTTAGACAGATTTGGTCGTTGCCATAACACACAATAGCCTGCTTTCTGGTGGGATCTTTTGTGTTGGCGACCTGGCATGTGGCTCATCCCCACCGGTCGATCAATGAAGATCCGCATTTAACAGTTCATTCATAGGGTCGTACTCAATGTCTTCCCCCATCGACAAAAGACTGAGACTGGCCTCCAGCCACAGAGTTTTTTTTACCCTTTTTTCCCACTGACACGTCCGAGCTGCATCAGTGCGGGTCCACACGCCGATTTCCGATCCGAGCGCCAGAAAAGCAACCTGGCATCTCCTGTGCCACGCCGGGTTGGCTCTGCACATCTCTCCAGTGTGGCTCAGTTGTAACGTGGAAGAGAGGAATTGTTATACATTTGTAACCCAAAACTGAACCAGTTAGTTGTATCATTAGACCTCCTTTGCCAGTACTAAAATATAATAATAGTTTGTTTTTGTCTGCATTTTGACTGCAAGTATTGTGGTTAATGCAGACATGAATCCTTGTAAAAAGGTTTCAGTTTTGTTGCCAGAAAAAAGGGGAAAAACCCTATTATTATTATCAGTTGTAATTGTATATATTTGTGCTTGTACTAGGAGACGTCACGTTAGGCATGCCCATCTTTAAACTGTATCCAGTGGTGTAAATGCTGCATTCCTGTGGAGGAACACATTTTTTATGGGGCATGACCACGATTAACATCCCTAAAATATGTATTTTAATGACTACTTGAGGGATGATGGCCTAAACTGATCCTAAACCGGGATTTCAACTTGCAGCCTTCTAATTTTTAGGTGAGTGCTCGGTTATATTCTTATCGTGTGTGTATCTTTATGTAGATTATTTTGTTAGTATTAAACCTGTCCTATGATGCCATGTGGCTAACCACTATTCTGTGTAACATGTGTTAAAATATGAAAACAGCAGTGGATTGCTTTGTCAATCCACTGCTGTATGAAGACTTCACCAAGCACTGCTTAATTTAGGTTTTCAACCATTTAGGTTAAATACAAAAAAAACATGGCCGAAAGGTTAGTTTGTGGAGGATGAATAATTGAGTAAGGTTATCAGTGTAAGAAGAAGCATGCACTGTGCTAGCTCGGGAGAGGTTAAAATTAGGCCAGGGCAATCACTAATGAGCTAAAAGCCTAGGCACAATGAAAAATAAATGGCAACACAAACGTGGCTCACTTGATTTTGTCTTGGCCATTCATTTAAGAGGTAAAAATTTCAAAACCGATACTTCAGAAACAGAATCTTTATTTATCCTGGAAGAATCCGATGAGCTATGAAGTTTTTTTCACAGATGTTCAGCAAATACTTGAGTGTTAGATGTAGCTCGATGTTTTATTTCAATTTCAAAGCGATGTTTGCCATTTATATAATTATAATGGTATCATCACATTCCACTCTCCTGGCTAGATATTTGATCCTTATGGCGGTACCCCGGGGTACCAAATAGCAAAATGGCCGAGGCAATTAAATATTTTATTTCTGGGACAATGTTTTCCAGGGGTGTGCTTAACTCCGCGACTGGGGTACCAATCAATCCAAAATCAGTGCTACTCCGTGATGTTGAAACGCAGCGAGGACGATGGCGCTGAAACCCTGAACGCTCGTATGCACCATAGTGCATCGTGTACAGCTCGTCGAGATGAGTCGATTGCCGCATCGCCGACCATCAACAACTAAAATGACTACATCACGGACATTATGCGAGACCTAGGGTACTATGATACCCCGGGGTACCGCCATAAGGCTCATTTTGCCATAGTGATAACATTCCTTTCCCTGGTTGGCAAAGGGTGAATATTAAACACATTAGCCTCCATGCATTTATTTGGCGGGTTAATTGCACATTTGTTTATCATGGCATGTTGCTAATGAAGCAATGGATGTAAATTATACCGTTTGACATTTTATTGTTTCCCAGTACTGATCATTGGGCTGCAATAAATAGTTTTTCCTGATGTCGGAAACTAATAGTTCATGGCTGATAAATGAAGCCCTTTCAAGTAATGTATATGTTTGTGTGTGCGTGTGCTAAATTGGCATATTATGCTCCTGTTGGTGGCCTTGAACCAATGGTGGAAATGGCCAGGAATCTGAGGCCACCGGGATCCATGTGCATTGCACTCACCACTCTGCCACCACTCCCATATATCATGTAAAAAAATATACCGAACATACACGGTTAGCTTTACTGACCGTAGGGATAAGAGCTCATGGTAAAGCATCTAAGCTGAGCAATCATTGGAAGGACGTTATTAACCAGGTAAAGTCTTAACTGACTGTTTCCATCCTACCTGCCTATGTCAGCTGTTATTTAGACTCTCTGTGTCTCTCTCTATGCCTCTCTCTTATATCTCTCATGCTCACATGTCCGTTGCATTACACTCTCATGCCTTTGGATTGCACTCTCATGCTCGCAGGACCTTTGGATTGCACCCGTTGGGTTGCACTCCCTCGTCGAGGAGGCCGCTCTCCTATCTTACATTTACATGCTTATTTCTCACATTAACATCACTAGCCCCAGCCACTTCTTTATGACCCTTGAGCTACACCCATTTCAAACCTTTTAAAACAGTCTGCCTCAGCAGCAGACCATGGTTTCCCACCTGATGATTGACGCTTGTGTTGCGCCCAAAAGGTCGTGATTTATTTTATTTTATACCCACGTGACTTTACCAAAAGAACCAAAGAGTAAAGCACCTAATGTCGGCAGAGTACACAGTGGGGTGGTGTGGTCTGCACTGCCGGGCTGCATTTATCCCACCAATGTTGATGTTAACATTACAAACAGGGACACGTGTTCTCTCGTTAACACGTGTGCTTCTCTCTGTCTGTCTGCAGGCTCGACGCGAGAGATCGGCTCGGCCCTCACCAGGGTGTGCATCAGACACCGTAGCATCGAGTCGAAGCTCAGACAAGTGTCAACGTACGTACGCACAAAGCACCACGCGCGCGTTCCCTAGTGTAAGCCGTACTCTGTGCTGCTTTCGCCTCAACCTGGAGGGGGGTTGGGGGTGGTGGTCATCGCCACTACTGGCGATGGTGCAACCGGCTAGATTAAAACTGGGCCATGAAACTAGGTCACGGAGACCCCCGAGAATATTGCGCAACGAGTGGCTGGCGGTAAACACGGACCCTTCTCAGAGGAGGCTTGGAGCATGGAGGAGTGGAGCAGCTCTCCAGCTGCTCTGCACCCATCCCTTCCGAATATTTGTCCTTCTTGTTATTGAGTCTTGCCTCAGAAAGAGAGAGAGTTGTTTTAAGAGTGTTTTTTTGCTGTTGGCTGTAGCTATATTTAAGGTCCCACAGTATTTGTGGGTGGCTCTATCCCATAAAATCAGGTTAATAAATAATATTTACTGAGTAGACCACACCCTACTTATGAGATTCGGTAAAGTTGAAACCAGTTCAGTATTTTACTTGTGAAAGCAACTGCTGCTTTCATCAGGAAGACATTGTTTAATGGAATTCGTGTTATAATTATATATGCATTTAAACAAAACGTTTCTTTGTTAATTTACTCTTTTTTTAAAGCTGTCTAAAATCACCCGAATTTTATTGAGTGCTGCCTCACATTATACCATTAAAATAATCTATGCCTCCAGTCTCTTGGCTGGCTGCTGGCTGGGCTCTTCTCCACCTCAATAATGGCTCTTATTAGTGTCTGTGAGCCGTTGCCACCAAAACTAGCTTGGTAACTGGCTAAACGGGATGTCCGTGTCACAAATAAACATTGAATTCAGCTGAAACAGCTGAAGACGACGATATATAGTGACATCGGATAGGTGGGAGTGACGAATACAGAATACTGACACGGTTCATTTAAAATTGCTCTAAACGTTATATTTGTGATATTAATTGAATTAGTTTGGGAGAATATACTTTAAATCCTAAAAAATATAATAAAACATCCTCACTATACTTATTTTTCAGACTACAGGATTGTGAGAAGAGTGAAAATGACAGGCGTCTTAATTTCTGTTGCCGAGCAACGGGTTCTCTACAAGTGCTTGTAAAACATAATCATAATGACATTAATCTAATAAGTAATAATAATCCATGAACCATATTCATGTCGCTTCTGCACAGGAGTGCTGGGTGTTTAAGTGGGGGGTTGGCACTGGGGTTGTCTGAGTGTGTGGTGGGAAAGAAGGCTACACTACACAATTGGTGCAACCGTGTGCTCCAGAAGCTCTTAGACATCCTTCTGATGCCTTCCATAACCTTATTAACATTATAAAGGACGAACATTATTGTTCATAAAATGAGGGAACACGTTAAATATAAAAAAAGCATTGTGTCACTTAAGGTGACATGGTGCCGTGTCCCACTTCAAAGTGTCGTCACGCAATCCTTAAACAGGAGAACCCTTTTGCACTCGGCTGAGTCATAGTGGTGGGATGAGCTATTGTAAAATAAAAGGCTAGGGTCTGTGTTATGCTTGGATTAGTTGCATGTATTCCTCACATACGCCCTTAGAAAATGTTGTTGAGATGAGCGTCGAGTTTGTTTAGGTTGTGTCTCAATATCTGTTGACGCAGGCAAGGAGTTCATAGCTAATAGGCACATCATGATTCATCCCCGCTTAATTCAATGGATTGTCATGATTCTTGGTCAATATTTGATTCATTAATCTATTATTTTTCTCATATTTTTTTATGTGCAATGTCAGTCTCTTGTTATGCCTGTCTTTTAGTTACATTAGAGTAAGTTTATTCGGTGTGAGTGTTTCAAGTGCTTCATATGTACATGTGCTTCACAAGCACTGATTTGATCCTGTTTGATGTACTCTAAATTGGCCACCCAACTGTGTTATAGGATTGGTTGGTGTACTGTCAAGTATAATGCTGAAAGCAACACTGCTAAATCTTGGCTAACTCTTAACTACACTGAGTAGCATTTGGAGTTTGTGATGACTGTGTTAGAGTATCGCTATTCTATTTGTCAAATCCTTTACATATGGGTTCATCCTATAATGGCCTGCTAGTGAGCTTTTAATACTTTATTACCCGCAACTTAATTTAGCATGGTTAGCTATGTGCTGTGCGAAAGACATTTTACATACATATAGGTAGCTTCAAAGTGTACCTATCCTGGCTCTGGCCCTGTGGTGACATAACTGCTGCATATTGGTTGGTAGTGGCTATTGCTGCTGTCGAGCATTTGCCTACACAGGAAGCCGTGACATTGTTGTGCTGTCATTTTCAGAGCCCTAATGGAAAGTCTGGTCTCTCCGCTACAAGACAAAATTGAGGATTGGAAGAGGAGTGCTAACCAGCTGGATAAGGACCATGCCAAAGGTGAATACCCTCCTCTCGTTGACACCGTTTGCTTATGAATTAGATGCCTATTTTGTTGTTCTGGTAAGAGTCCTTTAAAGTCTCAACCGAGTGTTACAGGGTCAGGCTTTGGTGGTTGATCGAATCCCTTTTCGAGTTTTGGAAGAAACCAGACAAAAAAACAACAACTCGGTGTTATGGGTGACGCTCAATTTGTAGAAATGTCAACCACATATTTTATGCACTGTCATATACTAGCCATCTAATAGCTCTGCAGGTGGGTGTTTCACACCAAGCCCACCTCCAAATCGGTTGATACTTGCCCGGCATATATTAAAGTGACAGATTTTTCATTTTGTGAAAATATTTTCCAGATAACTTTGCCTTGCGTCAACACGCACTGGCCGACTCGGTAGAAATAACACAGGTGCTTTTACTTCTACTCTTCATCCGATGGTTCAACATACGCTCTCGTAGGCCAGTCGACTTTATTTTATGCTGATGCTGCCACTGGGCGTGGTTGTCAGAGGGGAGTCCCAGATGGTAGCTGGAAGTGGTCACGGCCTCCGTTCATGAATGCAGCTGCGTTATAATCGGTGTCCTTGTGCGACGCGTTGTTCAGAGAGGAGAGCATGTGGTTGTAAAAACTATCAACTAAACTATTTTTATTTTTTTACTTAAAACTTTCGTGACTGCAGGAATTCATATTCTTTAGTTCTTTCGGTAAAGTCACGTAAAAAAACATGTGGTTTTTGTTTTCTTTTTTATTAGAAATTGTATTTTTATTACTGAAAGAACCAGAATAAGTCTACATCATAGACTGCCAATACGCTCACCAGCTTAAGAACCAGGCTACAGTCTACATTATAGACTTCCAGTACACTCACTACGATTAATAACCAGGCAGCAGTCTACATCAGTGTTTTTATTATTTAAATTTTATTATTTTAATTCACATTATTTTTTATTATTTTTTATCTACGTGACTTTACCGAAAGAACCAAATAATATTTTTTATTTTACCAGGTAAGGCCCACTGAGCTATATAGCTATTTTTATGAAGCCACCTGGCCACAATTTATAGCTCTACAAAGTGGCTTATCGCGTGGAAATGTATAGCAGCCAAATGCTCTAAACGCATGTTTCTCAATGTGGAAATACAAACCAGAGGGCCCGCAGAAAAATCCACGCAACAATGGGAAGAACATCTCCAAATATATTGGTGTCAGGATCGGGATCGAACCCACAACCTCCTGCATACCAGACGAAGGAGTTAACGTCTTTCCACTGATCTGTGGAATGGTCCTGCCCATCCCCAAGAGCTGGAGATTTACTGACGTCCTCTGCATTGGCAGCTCACAGATTTCGCAGCCCAGTGCCACAGGGAATCAAATCTCATCTTGGTGCAGCGCTTTCAGTATTTTATTTGGGCTTTAGCTTTGATGTGGCACGTGAGCGTGCAGTGTGCTCATTTAATTCCTTAATTGCGTGATTGCTGTGTGCTCAGGGGGTGCATGGAGAATGAGTTCTTTCAGGCCCAACCACAGTCATTGCCATTATATATGCAGAACATTATTATAGGAATCATTCAGTTATTATTTTAGTATTTTTTTAAGGGAGCCGGTAACCCAGAAATATTTCTTATATTTACATCAATGCTTTCAATAGCATTTCACATATGCACGAAAACCACAAAACGATAAACCAATTGAAATAAACTTTACCACTCGGCTTACAAATACGAATGTCCAGATCTTTATTGTTTTTGTGAAGATGGACAATGAAATACTTTCTTTAAGAGATTTTATTATTTATATGAAGCTTATATCACTTTATGTGAACACTTGTGATAACAATTTGGGGCACACCAGCCTTTTAATTCAGCAAGCGAGACTTAACGAATACAGAAATGTGCTCAATTCGAATAAAATGGCTGGCATGCCCCAACTTGCTACCACAAGTGTGTTATGCTATGTATCAATGTGATTAGTGAGTGTTCGTATATGGGAAAGGTATTTTCACATTTAAATTTCTTAACAATGTGGAGGTTTCTTTACTCAGCTTACTTTCCAGCTTGTTTAGAAATGGGATAGTCTGAGCAGCTTGCAACTCGTAATCCAAGAGGATACACGGAACTCGGAACTCGACTGAATCTGCTTATAAACCATTGTTAATATTAGAGGCCAATTTAGTTGTGATAACAATACACATGTCCCAGCGGTGAGCTTGCTCATGACTCAACCATTTAACGTAGTCTGGACCCATATTGTGTTCGAGCTATTCCTGGGCCTGCGTGGTTCCACAATTTTTAGAGAAAGTCCATCGCTTCATAGACCATCGCTTCATAGACCATCGCTTCATAGAATGGCTGGAAACTGCAGAGCCCACAAGGTTGGGTGAGAATGCAAGTCCACTGTGTATGGGCCAACTGCAGAACCATCCATGGCATCACCTGCCTTACTCGGCTTCATAAAAAAAGTCCATTTACAGCCTCACCATCGGAACAACTTGAGAAAGTCCGTATGAGTTGTTTGCATTAACTATCTGCAATGCACTTGCATTATTGAGCATTAATGTGTTATTCTATATTTAAATTAAGTTTGGACATTTTTAATTGATGATAACAAATAAATCGTGCCTCCCTTGACTTTTACGTTTTATCCCTGATCAGAGTACAAGCGCGTACGACAAGAGATTAAGAAGAAGTCTTCAGACACTCTTAAGCTGCAAAAGAAAGTGAGGAAAGGTGAGAATGGTAATTCCTGTTTTTTTTCTTTATTCATTCTCCAGACCAATCTTTCTCAAGCTTAGACACATAGGAGCACTCCCCACCTTTATAAACCTGATAACATCACGTTTAGGTGTGCTCTGTGCATGACTTGTTTTGGAGAGCTGCGAGTCATTGTCTGTAGAAGGGTGTATTGTTGCAAGGCTGACAAGCTTGCACTGTGCAACCCTATTATCACAGGTATGTTGTATGTTTTCTCAATTCCCTGTGGGCAGAGTTTTGTCTAGTCTATAAATCATCAATGAATACGAAGTATGTATTGCCATGATAATTGCCATGGTTTAATTATGTTTTATAATTGCTTCATGGATACCTATTTCAGCATTTTGGCACCGTGGTTATAGCATACAAATTGAATGGTAGCGAGTTTATATTCTGGTTGGCAGTTTAATTAGTGCTTCATTCTTCTGGTGCTGATCATGTTATTTACATCACTGGCTAATGCTTTAAGAATAAAAGGATAACTTATTTATATTCTTTGGGTCTTTCGATAAAGTCGTGTAGATAGGTTGAAAGAAAATAACCAAAAACTACGACGTTTCGATCACAACACAAGCGATCGTTTTCTTTTCTCCTGATGACGATCGCTTGTGTTGTGATCGAAACGTCATAGTTTTTTGTTGTTTTCTTTCAACCTATCTACGTGACTTTACCAAAAGACCCAACGAATGTGAATTCCTGCAGTCACGAAAGCTTTAAGTCAAGAGATAACTTATTTGTTCACATTTGAGCAGGAAAGAACTAACTTTTAAAAAGGTAATACTTTTAGGGTTACATTGACAATGAAGCGTAACGATGGAGTGGCAACCAAGGGATAAAATGTGCCTGAGGATGTCCACTGAGGAGTTGGAGTGACAAATCAGCCCGTGCGCAGGCAACGGTGGATTGTTGCATCGCAGGATGGCAACAGCTTTGGGAAGCCTTCATGCTTCAGTGAATTGATCATGGGTGAAATTTACTTTAAAGGGTTGTTAATGAGGAGCATATGAACCTAAAACAACTAAATATTATCCACTACAGTAATTTGTTAATTCCAATACTGGAGTATGCAGTGTATTTTTAAACTTCCTGCACTATCACTGAAGTCATGTTATCATTACTGCCATCATTGCAGCGCTACTAAACATTACAGAGAATGGCTTGAGAGAGTTTACAGTCAAAATTCACTCATCAATCTGTCTTAAAAGATTTGTGGTGTCATCCTTCCAAAAAAAGGACATGCAGGGACAAATGTGAGGTTGAAATCAGCGTAACTGTACACTGAGCACAGTTTGCTACTTTTTAAACGTGTATAGTACATGGGCGGCACTGGATTTTTAAGTTGCATTTCGCTGGTTTACTTATTTAAGCCACGACTGTTGCTTGAAAACGACATATGGGTGCGTGACTTCAGTCGAAAGGAGATGAGATGCCTTTCAAGTAATAGAAACAAGCTGTGTGACACTGGAAAAAGAGGAGGTGGATGAGATAAAATGGCCACAGATATTAGCCCTGCAAATAAATATGGAATTTGCCACAGCCAATAAATAACAGCAATTGATTGTAACGCCACTACAAGACACAAATGTATACACGTTGTACAATGTTGACTCTTAATTTATGACTGTCCTGTTGTGTAGGAAAACTTTTCAAAGACCAAAGGGAAAATAACTACACAGAACATTAACCCCTCCTATACCCAGGCTCCTGTAAAGCACCTCCTTGCAATTATCACTGGCGTTTTCTTCTGCTCAGCCAAACGACCGGCACCTGTGTTGTTATAACATTGGCATTGACAGCAGACACTGCCGTTTTGTGAAATAACCGGTTTGGCATTGCAGGTATACGATCTGCAAAAGACTATTTCGTAGGAGTACAGGTTTATTGGGCTCCTCTTCGAAAGCTTAAAGCATCTGTACTCCTAAAATAAAATGTCCCGAGCCACAGTTATAAAGTGTCATAAAAAGCATTCCTTGCCCTGAAATTGCCAAATATGCTACAGTGTGGATATAATTAGGGGGGCTCTGATAATTAATTAGTTTTGCTTTTATGTGGTCACATCGAGCCAGGAAGTTGTGAAACGGGGAGAAGTGAGAGGTAGGAGTGCCCAGGGCGCGGTGCGAGAAGTGTGAAATTCAGGTGGCACGTGTCAGCTACGTTTACACATTCACACGACGTTTCCCCTCAAATGAGCAATGGAGGAGCAATTATCTGTGATGGCAGCTCTGAGCCGTTCATATAAATTCCACATTCCCAAAGTTGGCGACATCATCTCTATAAGTGACATGGCGGAATTTACCCCTGTTTGCAGAGATTCATGGTTCGAGCCCCATTGCTGCCATGATTAATACTGCGGGTGTATTTATGATAGTGTGGATGTATTATGCATACAGAAGTGCCTATGTTCACAGCTAACATTAAAGATGCCTATTTGTTATAAAAAAATAGTAGACCATTTATGCTGGTGTCATAGTCCAAACTTTCCAAATTAGAAAAATTACCCACAAATGTTGAAATTGAGAGAAACTACTGCAGACTTTTTTTTTCCTGATAGCCTTACATGATAAGAATGGCACGAATACCATATTAACTTATGATTTTGTTTGATTGACTGCCCACAACATGGTTTTATAAACCCTGGAGAATTGAAGGGCTGAGAAATGAGCCGATACGATTTCAAACTGGATGTTATTTACTTTAACCAAGTGAAGGTTGCTAAGCTGAGCAGAGCACTCCACTTGAATTATGAAGGAAAACTGTTAATTCGCCAACTTTATGAAAATGTCTTATTTCCTCAAGGCACCATAATGTGTAATTGCAATCTGCAAGTATTCGTCAGTCAAACTTTCCATATAATTTATTAACCAAAGAAGGACTTTTGCCTTAAAGGTTACCCTATTTTATCTATCACTGTTAGAAGGCAATGTTACTGATGAAGGTTGAGGTTTTTCTGTTGTCAATGAGATTTGTGAGTTTTAGAGCTCATTTTAATGTTTATAACGTGCTACAAAAGGAGTCATTAAACATTGCTTGAAGAGGTGCTCTGACCACCGTGGAGGTGACTGAAGTAATAATAAATGCTAAGGGACCAATGGGGTTCATGGTCCATAGGTTCCATTGAGCAAGATTACAAGCCCTGGCTTCTTCACAAATGCAGTTAACAGCACCTTTTAGCCTCCCACAGTGCACAAATTAATCCCATGTAAACAGTTGTTTTTCTGTAAGATGCGTTGTAATGGTTAAACACCCATAGGGATGTTTCGGTCCTGCTGTTCATGCTTGTACACGTGTGGGGCCGTCTTCTTGGGAGGGCCACAGGAGGAGCCGATGGCATTGGCATGTGCAGCTGACATTACAGCCAGTGTCTGGAAAAAGAAAGGGTTAATTGTCTTGAGTAACCATGATTACTTGCAGGTTGAGAAAAGTATGTAATTACCATAACTATTATAAATAAACACACGTGGATTTGTTTTAGCATGTAAAAATCAATAACATTTTGGTTCCTCTGCTAATGGATACTGGATAAATATTTCCCAGCATAATATTTGGTTTGAGCTGGCAACTGTGCACCTGCTTTGACTTTGAGTATAAATTATGTCCATAAGGCCCATAGGGTGGCGACTGAAATGTGACTTCGTTTTACGTGGTAAAGCAGACCTCTTGTCTTAATTTATTCAAAATCCACCATAACAATGCATTATAAACTTTGGTAATACATATGATGGTGATCTTTTATAGGGTACATAAATTGGCACAGTTCAAACAATTAAGAAAATGAAAAACTACAGAAAGGCCAACAATTTAAGTGCTCACGAATGCACTCAAGAAGTCGGAAAAATAACGTTCATAATCTCAATCATTCAATGAAACATGGACATTAATAGAAATAAATATTAAGATCACTGCGATTAATATTCATCAAAGTTCGTCATATTAACAGCCATGCAGTTACACGAGCTTTGTAAACAATATCCTTCAAGCAGTAGAGTGGAGTATCTGCTTTGAGGTTCTTCAGGGAGACTAATGTGTGGGGGAAATAAGCTGCGTGAGGATAGCTTGTCAAACACCTGCTGCCCCATGCAGGCCCTCATTTCCCTGCTGCGTGTGGTCATGCACCATCCCTGCGTTAATCTTCCACCCTGCTCAATGTTGGTGGAATACAGACATATACCACCACACCCAGCCAAACTTATAGAAAACATTTATTAAAAAAGCAGATTTTTGCTAGTTATTAGTAAGTAAATATTTCTTGTATTTAAGCTCTATTAGTATTACCGTTGCACATTGGCATTTGTTGTGCCTGCGGGGTTAATTTTTCTCAGCTGATTCATGTTAACAGTAATGTGCGTTAGCAAGCAACACGCTCATATTTTATCACAACCAAGGAAAGAATCCTGGATCGTTGAGTCAAGGGATTATAAAGGGATACAGAAAATATTGTAAGATGAATTCCTTGCCCTACAAATTGGTTATTACCTTTTCCTGTTAATTTGTTTCTGGCAGTGAGAATTAAGGCAGATTATTTTAAGGTCGTTCCAATATACCCCAATTCTAATTGAATTTTGGGTCAGCAGTGTCTTGTCAGACCGATTTAGGTTAGTTGGTAATGCCAATGGCTTATATTGTGAAGTCGCTAATGCTTTCTTTTGGCCTGCTGTCGAGTGTATGTGCTTAATGTTTTAGATTCATAGATGATTAGTGTGCTAATAACTTGTGGACTGAAATGATGTACTCTGTAATTTGATTATGCGTACAGATAGAGGGTCTGATTCATATATCGGCAGACAGGCGGTTTCCGCCAATATTTAGTGGAGAAATGTTCAAACTGCTGTTTTCTATGTATTTTTCTCTTATTTGCCAACTCGTGGAAAATGCCTTTCTGTTGACCAGCGAATCACACCACAGGCGCAGGATACAGTAGCTGCAGAAATGTTGCCGCTGCTCTGGCTTTAAAAAAAATATATCACTCGACCCCTCAA